ATATTTGTTTCAGAATTTTCGCAATTCATTTTTGTTTTTTTTTTTTTCCTGTTTTTTTTTTTTTTTTTTTTTTGAATAGTCCATTTCTGACCGTAGATGATTAGGGCGATGAACGGTCGCAGAAAAAAAAATAAAACACAAAAAACGAAATCAGGATTGTGGCACGCTGGACCTTGTTGTTCAGAAAGAGAGAGAGAGGGGAAAGGGGGGGGGTCCTGCGCTCCCTCCCCTGCAGGCGGGAACGGCAGCCTCCACATGCACAAAAGACAAAAAATATGGCTAATATATATGTTTTTTTTTTTTTTTTTTAAGAATATATATGTATTTTCATATATATATATATATACATATATATGTAGTCAAACAGAGCTGCCTGGTAAACCGTAGTAGGCAGAGTGGGAGAAAGGACAACGAGCGAGGGGCTGCGACAAACTGTTTTGTCTGAGTTTCACCCCCTCATCATATATATATCTATATATCGTCACAAACAGAACTGCCCGGTAAACAGTAGGCAGAGAGAGAGAAGAGGACAACAAACGAGGGGCTGTGACAAGTAGGCAGAGTGGGAGAAAGGACAACGAGCGAGGGGCTGCGACAAACTGTTTTGTCTGAGTTTCACCCCCTCATCATATATATATCTATATATCGTCACAAACAGAACTGCCCGGTAAACAGTAGGCAGAGAGAGAGAAGAGGACATATATATATATATATATAAGGTGGATTATCACTTACAGTATACTATTTGACGATATATATATATAAGGTGGATTATCACTTACAGTATACTAATTAAGTTAGGGGATGCTGCAGACTGTTGAGGGTTCAGCCTCCTGATGAGGGCCTAGTTGCACTACTCTCGCCACAATTCGTGGAGGATGGGTGGAGAGTGAAAAAATTGAGAATCGTGTCGAATTGGAGGCTTGGTTAGTTGGGCTTACTGGCCACAATATTTCTTCTAGAGAAAAGTTCAAAGGTTTTGGGGCTCGTTCGACACTCCTTGGGGCGTCCTCGGGGCCAAAGGAAGTTTCCTTGGGGGTTTTCAAGGAAATTCCCGCCATCGTTCCACCTGTCCTCGGGGACCTCGCCCGAAGGAAACCTCGCCCGAGGACATTTCCTTCGAACGATGTCGGACAAGAAAAAAGAAAAGAAAAAAAAAATCAAATGTGTTTGAGGCCTTCAGCCAATAGGGTGCCGCCACGATCCAGATTCTCTGTTGTAAAGTCTCTCTACCCATGTGCCCGCTCCTGTCTGTGAAACGCGGATTCCTTTTGCCCAAGGGACCTTGTGGGCAAAAGGAAGAAATGGCTGGGGAGGAGCCCAATGAATTTCCTTCGGAGTGTTTTCACTTTTTTTTTGCCGACTGCATCCCCGAGGATAGGTGGAACGAACAATTCCTCGGGGACTTTACGCGCCCGAGGAGTGTCGAACGAGCCCCTTTGTCTGCCTGATCTCGACTCGTGAAGCCAAGCCGTGCACTCTCCAGAAAATTGTTTTGTGGAGAGGTCCCACCCTCCACAAACCGCCCTTCACAAGCGGCGAAACCGAACACACTGCCCACAACTTGTGTCGACGGTGTGGCGAGCAGTCTGACATATTTTTCATTCACCGAGTTTGGCGAGTAAGTGCAACCAGGCGCCTACTCGCCAAACTTGGCCTATGAAGAGTAGTGCAACCAGGCCCTGAGTCGGTCAAACTCCCACGAAACAGATTGTCACAGCCCCGCGTTTCTTGTCCTCTTCTGCCCCCCTCTCTGCCTACTCTTCTGCCCCCCTCTCTGCCTACTATGGTTTACGGGCCAGCTCTGTTTCACGACATATATATGGCTGACTGTCTTCTTTTCGTTTTCTGAAAAACAACTCTGTATTTCACTGGAAAAGAGAATCGGGAGGCCGTGTCCCACTTCTCGAGGTTTTGTTCTGGTTTCGCGTGTACATGGCTCCTTGCCATCCGATCTGAAAATCTAACGGCCCTAGTGTAGTGTGACCACGTTGAAAAATACAAGAAACATAAACTAAACCCCCGCTAGTCGGTCACTACCCCGTGGACCTCACACTTCTACCCGCATTACGACTGGGGCCATTACCCACCTTTTGGCTTGTGCTACGCACATTATGACTGGGGCCATTTCCCACCTTTGGCTTGTGCTGGAAAACGGGTCCCGCGTCCCTTGAAAAAGGAGCAAAAACCACGTAACACTAAATTTTAACTGGAAACCAGGTCCAGCGTCCCTTAAAACAAAATTTACCATGGTAAACAAGTGAAAAAAAGCTGGAAAAGGGGTCCAACATCCCTTATCTGGAAAAGAAAGTCTGTGAGCAGCAATTCTGTGAGAATGGTGAGCTCGTACTAACCACTCGGGAATTCTGTGACTTTGAAGGTGTACTGCCAAGGGCAGGGAGAAGCTTGCTGAGCTACAGAACAGAAGCACACAGGCCTACCTACCGTCTTTGCCGGAACACAACGCACCCTCATTTTGGCTGTATCAGGCCAGAAATAAAGGTTGTATACATTCATTTTTAGGGTGCGTTATGTTCGGGGGAAGACGGCCGTGACCCACTAGCAGGGGTTTAGTTTATGTTTCATGTATTTTGAATTGTGGTCACACTACACTAGGGCCGTGAGATTTTCAGACCGGATGGCAAGGAGCCATGTACACGCGAAACCAGTACTTTTAGGCCTAATGGGAGGGAAAACTCCTGGGGGTCCTAGTGCCTCCAGGGCTACCCCCTTTTCACATGTTAGGCCTACTGCGACGT